TTTCTTGTATCGGAGATAAAAGTCTGCCAGGTTGAAATATAATTGCACTCTGTAATGAATGTGTTGTCTTGCTGGTCAATCTGATGAGCCATTCTGCTTTATGGTTATTGTGGAGTAGCTTACATTTGTTTATCACCAGAGAAAAGTCCATTAGTAAAAGAGCTTTAGCAGAAACATGATAGGCCTCATTTGGCTACAATGTCGAGCTGTTATCCATCAGTCAGCCTCCTCTGGGGACAAACTCTATCTCCCCAGTGCTGCCTAGCACACAAATACACATGGTGATGCATTACCATTTAGCTTTATTTGTTTGCTTAGCAACAGAGAGCAAACGTGTACTTGGTGATGGTGTTGGCGGTAAGAATTACTTTCAATCTGTGAAAACACCCATGAAGACATCTGTGTTTTATTCATGATGTCACTCATTCGTCTGCAGTACTTGTGTGTTTTCAGGATGCTGCAGGCTAAGGTCCACACTCAGCCACGCAGGTCTGACTACACAAGATGGGTGATTATGGTGTTTTTACAGTGATACAATTACGTCTTTTTGTAGGACAAACGGATGATAATGGCGATACGGATAAAGCTGTATCAGGTTACGACCCTGTGGAAGAGAGGCCTCATCATCGCTGCACTGTAACACAACATGTACAGTGAGTAGTACACATGGTTTTCTTGCATCGCAGAGGCCCACTGCAGGCAGTTAAGATTATGCAAATTTCTTTTCAGATATTTTGCTGATGTTGTTGCTGCTAGTCATCAGCGCCCAGCGCATGTCCCAAGCCCCGTTGTGTCCTGCTTCCTGTATGGTTTGTTCTGAGGATGCTGTCATCTGCCAAAGACTGACTCAAATTATAGGTAAAAAAAAATGCCATTCCCCCTCTATAACTGAAAGCTGAGCCTAAATAAGTGCATAGTCCTACTGTACGGTAGTCATATGAAAAACATTATTTGTCAGTATTCAGAGCTGAAGACAGCAAAACACGAGAGAAAGGGAACTAACAAAATAAAGGAGATAGTAGCTAAACAGGTAAACACTGAACACAGACATGAAGGATTAACAATCGAATAAGAGGGTACTGGGATATGGAGGACTGGGAGAGTTACGTTACACTGAAATAAAGCATTTCATGCTTTAATAATCATCCATCCATCTTCATCCGCTTTATCCGAGGCCGGGTTGCGGGGGCAGCAGCCTAAGCAAATAATAATCCTAAGCTTTAATAATCAATTGTAAATTAATAAAATAATTTGCTTTTTTTTAATATCCATTATATGGTCATTTAATGGACAAAAACACAAGGAATGTTTTTTTTTTTTTTAACTCTTTAAGTATCAAAAAGCGATGTGGTAACTGATGAGACTGTGTTTACAGACAGTAACTCAGTTATCAATCACAGGACTCAGTGCTTGTTCCAGCAGTTTGATTAGTTTCCAAGTTTATTTGTGAAAGCAGACATTAGCTCACTAAAAACGGTAGTATTAAACCTGATTCTTTGATCCCCATGATAGAACAGAGAAAACCCGACTCAGAGTGGTCAAAACATTTATAATTCTTTATTCAATCATCTGAATCAAGAGGGAGCCCTGCACAGCCCATAGCCAGCTGCAGAATCTCTAACATTAGAAGCTCAGCCTGTGTCTCATATAGTGTTATTTTGGTACTTCACACGTCACACAGTTTCAATACAAACAACTCCTTATATGTCAGTAGCTTCCTCTTTTTCTGCCTAGCTTCCTCTATCTAGCTTGTACAGCTGCACACGGACTTCCTGTTTTTCAGTCTGGCTGAGCACTTAGTTTGTGAGTCAAAAGTGGCCTTGGTTTACAAGCCTTCATTACTAAAATACATAAAACCATATAATCAGCAAATAAGCATTAAGAATATATCTTTATTTCTTAACAGTAGCTAGCTAGTACCCCCATATCACAAACTAACACAAGCCTACAAGGGTAGGGCTACCTGGAGTGATGCTAATGTTACGTGCTACTTTCGTGTTACCTTCCGCAATTCGTAATTCGTAATACTAATTTGCAAATGGATTCACTAATACATATTTTATTGCACAATGCATTATAAAATGACAAAATTGAAACACAAAAGCCAGTATTGCAAAACATAAACTAAAGAAAACCAACAGAATTTGACATCACTAAAAACTGTCATATATTACACTTTTTTAATAAGCTTATATAATTAATAAAACCTAGAAACATTTTTACTGTAATTCATTTTGTTTTGAATTCTTCCCAGATTAGCTTATTGACAAGTGAAATTCCCCCAAAACTATGATTTGATGTAGCATAATGCAAAATTTACCACTTTAATTTGGTAAATTTACTTCTCACGTATGAAACCGGAAGGCACTAATATGCTGATGATGTTGTGTGTTTTTGTATGCCTTGACCAGTTGCTCCGAATACCACACAGGCTCTGCTGCTAACAGAAGGCTCAATTTCTACAGTTCAGCCTGCCTCACTGTCTGAGCTGAGCAACATTACAGTCATTGGTGAGTAAACTGGTGAGTTTTGAGAATTGCAAAACAGCAACAATAATGGTAGGACAAGTTGATTCTGTTCACGGGGGGCATGTTCTGATATGTTCTGATTTAGGACCTGGATGGCTTGGGGATAGAAGTTTATTGAAGGATGGGACGGGTCCTTCAAAGTAAAGCAAAGTTAGTTTAAATAGTGAATCAAAAAGCAGCCACAATGGTCAAGAGGGGTATTTGAAGGTAGCAAGAAAAAGCTTCTAATGCAGCTTTTCATATTCATTCTATGATAAATTTTGCCTCTCAAATTTACAAAAAATAAAGACTCAAGACTAACTACACAAAAGCAAGGCAATTAGTCTTGCTTGTGTTACATGTTCCCTCTTAGTACAGCCTTTAACTTTTGATCCATAGAGGTCAGTGTGCCAAACCCCTTTGCTAGATGAAATAGAGTTACTTTTAAAACTTTGACCCACTAAACTTCAGAAGAAAGTCCTCTGCACCATAAAAATACTGCAAAGCAATGGCAGATGACAGACAGAAAAAGAACAAAAGAAGGAAACTTGTTTCTTTTTCCAGACTCTTTTTTTTTAGAAACAATAGCATAGCCAGGCAACAGGACATCTTTCACTTTTTAGATGCAGTAAAACATTTAGACTCCCGGTTTTATAGTGTTCAAATGTATTTCTCCCTGCTGATCATCCAGGTTTGAGTCATAACAACATCTCAGAACTTGGTAAAGAGTCCTTCAGAAATCTGCCCTTCCTCCACACATTACTGCTGGACCACAACCTCCTGAACAGTGAGTCTCTACAGGGTGGAGCTCTGATGAATCTAACCCAGCTACAGGTCCTCACCTTGGGCCATAATATCATTAGCACGGTAGGTACCTTTGCTGGGG